TCTTTGATAAAAGAACTTAGACTTGCTCTCGACATATTTTACCATTCTGTACATGTCATTAGTTATTATTATGCAACTGACGTTCGAATTATCAAAGATTATCTTCAAGAAAGAATCTTTTTATGCTCAAGCATACGACATTTTTTAATCTAATTTTCCATAAAATGTTATTCTTTTTGCTCATTTTTGATTTCGTATCTTAGTTCGTCCCATCAACACTCCACTCTCAGTTTTTTTTTCTTAGTTCGTCCCAGATAGTTATGTTCGCGCCTAAAAATAAATAAAGTGTTGTACCATCGTTTAGTGGACGGCGATGGTATTGTAGACAATACAAGGTCCGTGTACGCAGCAAAATACCATCGAACAGTTTAGACGACGGCGATGGGTATTGTACACAAGACTAGGTGTGCGTACGTGGCAAAATGTGTCGTGTTAGTCACTACTATCACAAATTTAAATCTAAATAAGTTAAATTGTTTTGTTATCAAAATGTTAATTTTCACGTCTGCTGAAAAAGACAAACTATTACAGGACCTTGTCTTTTCACACAGCGTGTGATTTTGTCAGCTTCTTTTTCTCATTTTGCTTGGGTCACGTTTTATACAAGTGATCTTTTTGCGTTCTTCAACATTGTAAAAGTTTTTCTATCGTCCGTTTTTTTCAATGATCATATGACATTTGATCATTGTGTCCTTTTTGTTCTTTTTCTGTCTCCAGCAAGATATACAGATATATATAGTTATGCATTTTTTTTTCGTGTTTTTTAGATCAGTCGTAGTCATTTCTTCGTATCGTTTAGATTATTGTGTTTTATTCACTTTATTGTTTAGTATTATTCTACTTCTGAATAAATATAAAGAGATTAGTTCGGCATTTATTTCAAGCATATAGGAACATCCTGATACAAACCAGTTTTGAATCATAATGGGTATCGATACACCAAAAAACGAGTAAACAAAAAGAATAATCAATGGCGATGTCGGGATCGAACACGTTCAAGTACAATATCATTATGTACAGACGATGTCAGAATTTTACGGAATGAATCAGCGCACACATGCCAACCAGATACCATCAAAGTCCTCATCGATATTGCTGTTGATAATATGAAAAAACGTGCAAGAAAGGAAACACTATCTATTCCAAAAATATATTCACAAGAGGTCGTCAGAGCAAGAGTTGCCAGTCCTGGTCTTGCAACTGGTCGTGTGTTTCCAACACTTCCGAATGTTGATGATTTACTTTATCGTCGTAGAGCGCTTAGTTACCCCAAACTGCCAACAACTACCGACGAAAACGCTCTGACCGGCTTATGGAGGCTATCGAAAGAAGGAGGAGAATTCTTACTTGTCGATGAAAAATGTAAGTAACCTTCTAGAGTTAGACGTGGCTCATCGCTGATTCTTCTGGGTTTGTTTAAACTGTATGTAAAGAGCACAAACATGTAACTTAGTCCATTATTTAGTCGTACAATCCTCGAGAATTCAATACCTCGAAAAGCATCTTTATGCTCTTGTTTTCGCTTTTCTCGTTGTTTGTCCAATATAACTGCTTACAAACACAACAGTCGTATATATCACTGTACGCAAGAGGTACGAACAATTATATTAAAGCTAATTAGGTGCAAACGGATGTGGGACGAACTGAGAAAAAAAGCTTCATGGGACGAATTGGGAAGTCAATTTGGGACCAACTGAAAGTAAACCCCAATGAAATAAGTTACAAGAAGAAGAATAAGAAAACAGATGTGAGAAGAAGAAGGAAGACGCTTTTGTTCTGTTCTGGTATATTATTTTCTCTATAATAATGAATTATATCGCTCCGTAGAATAGGAAGTCTGACCGTACACGAGATGAAGACATTTTTCACGACAGTTGTTCATCCGCTTCGCGAAGAAGTATGATAACGTGAATAGATTTGATCAAGCGGGTTGCTTACTACAGACATGTCGACATATCTGATTAAAAAATTCGCTGTGCAACTACATAACCAGTACCGATCAATACCCGTGCTGGTCAGTACTTTGAGTACTGGTATCGATGGTATTGGCACTGTTGCATGCTTACACATCAGCATTAAACAATGAGATCACTTCCCGTGTTAATTCATATTGATAATATCAAATACGTTAAAATTTCAATTGATCATTCACATAGTATGAAAGCATTACACGAAGAATTAAAGTTTGGAAAAATCATAAAAATCACATGATCAATTTACGAACCATCAAGTACAATGTCAGCTTCAGGTTAAAAGTAATTTTAAAATCTCACAATTAGCGGATCCAGACTTTATTCTGCATTACGATAAAGCAAACAAAATGCAAAAAAATATTTAATGAGCTTTAGTTCGATCGATGACTATGTATTCAGAGGGGCTTTGCAAACTGTCACAAATTGTATGATCGATATATCGTAGATGCATTTGTACGACTTGAATAATCTTTTGACGGCATATTTGTACTACCAAGCGGTCTCAGCGCCAGTTAAACTCATAGCAAACTAAAAACCAGGGTTTAGCACGTATGATAAAAAATCTCATTTATTGATTTTTTATTTGATTATGACATGGAAGTAGCACGGGAGGAAACGATCAAAATTATTTACACTACTTGCTCATACAGTTTCTCAAGCGTCAGACACGAATTCGATTGAGGTTAGCGTTCATTGTCCAAGAAATCGATAGTATTTTCATGCCCAACGATATTTTGTCTCACTACATCAGTGAGCATTGAACAGTTGACAACGTTCGATGCATAGTTCAAGTGTCTATGACTGAACACTATCTGAAATTTTCGAACTTCACAAACTAAAATGAACAGACTTTTAAATGAAATAGCTTGCTACATGACAAAGTAAAATTTTCTGCGATCCGAACGTTTCGTTTACGTTAATTGTATAAACAAACTTCAGACTCTTACTTATGCTTCTGTACTTTCTAAGCTACCGTAGTCATCTGTTAATGCAGTCATAGTATTTTTGACGCGTGACACGACATTTTCGCGAACGACATTAGTGCGAGACATTATGGTGAATTTTCCGTAGTACACATTTGGGTATTTTTGACTGTAAGTGGTAGGCGGCGGGCGTGCGGGCAGTGTGAGAGTGAATTCGAAAACTAGTTTCACACAGAACATAGTTTTTTGATGGCGTATGAATAAACTTTTTGAGCTTTTCAAGGGCTTGTCTGATGTCGAACTTGTTGAAGATAAAGCTGTAATGAAATTTTCATAACGACTAGATTCACCAGTAACACAGTTGATTTTTCTCAATGAAACATTTAAACGTGATTAACATTGGATATTTTTGTACAGCTTGCTGTAGTAGGATGCGCGATACACCTACTACACGACAGGTGATAAATGATGAGAGGAGACTGACGGTTACAAAATAAAAATTAAACTTATTGCTTAAGTCTCCATCCATAACCCCTAGGATTTTGTCTAGAATTTAGCGGTAAGATAAGCTCATGGTTGTACAGCACGAGCGGAATTCTTGCTTCCACCAAAGTTAAAAGGTTCAGCGAAATGCAAAAATATGAAATAAACTAGACTACACAGTGTGATAATGCTAGATCAGATGGTTTTGTTGTTGTTTTCGGTGTGACCTGCCAGGACAAAATTGTTTAAGATAACGAACGCGAGGACTGACTGAAGATAGACATCACAACAACACAAAAAAGAATTGGTGTTTACCTACTGTTCATTTCAAAAAAGAATGTGTGCGATTATAAGTTAAATAACTCGATAACGCAAAGAGCTATCGAGATCGGGTTTTCACTGCCGTGTAGCCAAGCCTATGAGACGTAACTATATATAGAAGCCAAAGTTCTCAGGTTGTGTCTCAAACAGTGGAAAATGGGTTATAGGTTTTCACCAGTTTTTGAAGCTTTTCCGGAAAACAAACATTGTCGCAAGATTCAGCGTCGTCGACATCATGTTTTCATGCGAATCCGAGCTTGGTCGGGTCAAAAAACGTGTCTTTTGGAGGTCTCGGCGTGAGGTCTAGGTCTCGAACGAAAGAACGGAAAAACTGCGACTTGCGTAGCTTGGTAGAGGAGACTCTGGGCTATCAAATGAACTCATTATGATCGAAAAACTATTAATGCTTCCCGGTTACCAAGGTAGTTTGTAAAAGCCTTCCTGAAAAATCATCTGAGAACTTTGGTTCCTATATACAGTTACATCCCAAAGGCTTGGCTACATGACAGTGAAAATTTGATCTCAATAGCTCTTTGCGCTCTCCAGTTATTCAACTCACAATCACATGCATTCTTTTTAAAATATACAGTAGTTCTCAATGAGTGTATTTGATCATAGATTTAAATGGGATGTATAATTTGATCATAATTTCTCTACGTTTATCGTACTTTCCGAAAGTGAGTCCGAAACTAAAAGTTTTTGATTTTGGGTGTGAAAAAGCCAAGATGCTTAGAAGAAAATCTTTTTGGATTTTAAAGAAAATAAGAAGGGGCATGAATGTTCCAAGATCTTGCTGTTTCTTCTGCAAGAAACAATTGCATTTCTACTTCTTGGATATCACCAGTACAATTTTGTACAATATTTATTATAGAAATTAAATAAAGGTGCCTTGTCGAAAATAATTACAACACTGTATAATTACTGGATGTCGAAACAACCAAAGTACATTCTTATAGTAATATATTAGATATTTGTTGATTTTTGTTGAAATAAAAAAGGATTATCAATGAAGTTGGAATAAGATCCAAAGTGATTGCAGCCTTTTTAGTAAATTCGTGTTGTACAACGCGTAGTTCTTCTACTATTGTATTCATTAAAAATGCTATTGTTCTAGCTATGGATGCCTCACTGTCTTTCTTCATGTTCTATTCACCATGTATCGAATAACAGTTTTTTGATGCAAATCGATTTATGAGCAACACAACAATGCATACAGTAAATCAGCAAGAAAAGAGGCAAAGAATATATGGATCAACTGTCGAGTTTAAATAAATCATATATTTCTACTGTAAGTAATCAGTCAATTGCATTGATTACGTATAATTTCAAACTTTTGTATACTATTAGTTTGTGAAACAATTAAATTTCTATCGCTATCAAATTTTAAATCGAAAGAAGCACGCAGTTCATGAGGTTGCCTGCCGCCCGATTCACAACGTCCGGCAATACAAACACCACCAGCTGTATAATTTCGTGCCATCCATTTAACTATACGATCATTTCCATTATCAGCTATATAAATGTTTTCATCACTATCTACAATAATACCGGTTGGATACCACAGTTGAAATAGACTATTACCTTCTGTACCATTTCCAGCAACCGTTTCACCACTGGTATCACCGATCGGATGAAATCGTTGAATTCGAGAATTTACACAATCAGCAACATAGAGAGCATTGTGGATCGAATCAACAACGATTGCTTGCGGAAAATTGAGCCGAATAGAATCCTTTCCTTTGCTATTAGTTTTACCAGCAATTAAAATGCCAGTTTGTGCATTTGGCTCCCATTTAACAATTCGATGATTTTCATGTTCTGATACATATAGGTTATTATTTTGATCTATCATAAGTCCAGGAGTATGAATACTTAGTTGATGCAAGCCTGAACCCACACCATTTCCACCAGCTACTATCACGCCAACACTTGTATTTGGACGAAATTTTAATACTTTTCCAGAATGACCGACATATAAGTTTTTGTCATTATCAATGAAAACACCAACAGGCCTAGTTAAATTTTCTGCAACCGCTTGTCCATTTATTTCACCTTGTTTAAATTTTAAAATACGTTTGTTGCCCTCATCTACTACATACAACGTATTGCTATCACCCAAGTCAACAAGTATTCCACGGGGACCTTTTAGAGATGATAAATCCGATCCTTCTGAACCATTTGGATTACCGGCAATCGTAGTACCATTTTTATTCCGTGTTGCACATGGTGAGATATTTAGCGTATTTGTAATGATATTTCGAACTGGAGAAGCACAAGAAAAACATTAATTTACAGTCTTATATAGCCAATAATGCACTTGATGATAATTAGGTAAACGCTCACAGACGGCCTAATAACCTATTGCTTCATGAGAAATTTTGATTCACATATCAACAGATGTATGCGAATAGATAACTTTAAGAAGCATCATCATCTAAAGTGGAATCTTTACACAATGAGTGCTTATGAAAAGGTGACTTTTAATGACTGAAACTCCAGATGTAAGACACCTCGTGACAGTGCTAGTTTTTACAAACATTACGATGTTCATTCAATTATAGACGAAGGAATAAAAGAAAATGTAATATTTGAGAATAGGAATATTGTGCTTGCATCAACTATCCGCGTTTCATCAACTGAATTCGATATAAATGTTGTAAAAGACGTAGAAAAAGGAATATTTCAAAAATAAATAGGTAGAATAGCCAAAACTGAACGTCTCACCTTTATTTGCCGTAGCAACTGTATCTATCGATGTTTCAACATCTAAAATAGACAAACAGATTGTTAATTAAAACCAGCTGGCGATGATTGCTGACAAATTTTTTTGTTTATTCAGATGTTTGTAAATTTTTTTGTGAGTTTTTCATGTGCTCCGAACGCAGTCACAGTACATGTAGAAGCATTCGAGAAACAGAAGAATCTAACTTACCAGATGTACTTGGCATATCAACAGTTGATGGAGAATGCGTTGTACCATCACTAACTAAAACACAACACAAAAAAGACAAGGAATACTTCTTTTTGTGGCACTTTAACACAAAAACAAAAAAGCAGTGATTAAAAATCTTTTAAAATGGTACTGTAGTCTAGAAAAGCTTGAAATATTATTCTTTATAAGCAGCAGTCTATCTATGTCTATGTGCATAGATCAGCGTGTTTAGGGAAGAAAATTTATATATTACCTGTTGTATTCGACATTGTTGAATTTTCGAATTTAGCTTGGTATCTTTGATTTTCTGTTAATTTTGCTGTTGATAAGTTCACATTAATAAATTGGGCATCTGTCAAATTTGAATCACCAAAATCTGTGCCATCTAATTCTGTACCATTAAAATTTGCACAAATGAGAGACGATCCTTCAAACTTTACACCATTTAATCGTGAACCGTCAAATGATGCACCATTAAGATCAACAAATGAAAACGTGGCGTTCGTCATTGAAACTTGTTCAAATTGAACACATTTCATATTTAGTTGATTCAAACTACCAGTTTGACTTAATAGATAGAGGTTGTCTAAATTCAGTTGATTTAATCGAATAATATCAATTAATTGTTGAAGTTCGCATCCAGTTATACGTTCTTGTTTACCAATTAATCCTTTTTCCTTGAGAAATTGTAATGCATGTGCTTTCCGAACTACATCCCATTGAAGATGTGCAGCTCTGTAGGATCTGTTTCAGTATCATGTATCCATTTTAAGATTGTCTTTCGCTCTAGAGATAAAGCGCTATGTAGTCGGTAGCTAAAGACTGATGAGTCATCGTTTTACAAGCTACTTTTCACTTTAACGGCCTCTATCTTTACGTTGGAGCAGTTTGTGATTATATTTTCGTATAATGAATATTTTGATATGACTCAACTTTTTGTTATAGCCGTCTTTCGCGGTTTGCATTTGAAAAGTAAATAATTAGCCTCCTGACCATTTTTCCAATGGCAGACAAAATGGTTGCCGTTAATGGACTGTCAGAACAAAGGACCACGGCACGATAGCAGCAGTTCTATAGAATAAATATTAGAGACAAACGTTAAATTTATGTGAAAAAACTAGGAGGTTTTGGTATTTATTACTGGAAATACAGTTTCCAAGGAATACCTGTTAAAAATAAAAATTATTTTTTGCTTGAGTTATTCTTTCTGACTTGTACTGAATGTTGACAATTTTAATTAAAAGTTTAAAAAAAAGCGTAGATTGGCATTAAGTTTAAAAGATAAACAAAAGATAGGAACCGAAACAAGACGTAGGATCCTGTTTGTCGCTGACATCACGGGGCTGCGTCGGGACCTTTTTGATCAACATCAATTAACTGATAGTAGTTAGAACATGTTCATTTTAATATGATGGAAACAGTTTGAAAATGAGATGTCTCCCATTTCAATATGATGTTTTTTGAAAAAGTTACATTTTCACATGACTTTCTCTTTCAGTGTTTTTGTTTGTCGTAATTTCTTTCTTTTAGATTTGTGTTTATAAAGATTTGAAGAACTTAGTTTTACGACACAAGATATATATATAGGAAAGAGAGCAAACTGTGACTATAAATGTACACCTGGGAAAGTGGAACACGTATTTGACGACGTGCCACTTGTAGTTCATGTTTTCTAAGGAAGGTCACTATAGTTGAAATTGATTGGATTGACTTTCTTTTATTTAAAAACATTACCTTGTTTTTGACCATGATGTTGCCTACAATAGAGAAGTTTTTAAGTTTGTTGAAATGCACTGATAAGATATATACACATTTATAATTTACTAAATTGTTTATCTGTTTTTAATTGATACTGGATCGGAAAAAGAATAGTCATGCATAAATTTCTCGTCCAGTACTACCGTTTGGTTCAATCCACTATCAATAAAGAAAACATAACAGTTTATTAAATTATAAATGTGTATACATCTTATTCCTTTGTTTTGGTCGAAAACAAAGTAATTTTTTAAACAAAAGAAAGGAGAGTAATCCAATCAGTTTTAAGTGCCCTTTTAGTGATCAAATTTAAAGTTTTACTGTGACCATATAAAGAGAGTGTCATATCAAAGCTGCTTGAGTCAGTGAAGAGCGCTAAGTCTAATGTATGGGATATTATATAAAGACTCCTGAGTGGAAAACGAGGCTTGTTTAACTAGATTTTGTTCTTATTATGTAACGTGAGAAACACTTGCATAAACCTCATAGCGATAACCGTTGACACATGGTGCAGGAAACATATTGATTCGTAGAGGTCGAAGGTCAGAGATGTAACAGTAAACACTTACTAAGGATTTTCCGTTGCAATCAGTATGTTTTCTGCTAACTACCTTTTTGTACAACATAATTTTTTTGTTTTTTAGGGATGGTATGACTTTCAAAATTAAGAATTTCTTCAGAATAATACAAGACTTCATTTAATAATGTTTGGGATATCGTCTACATTTTCTAACACTAGAATGTTTTATTTTTTATTTGTTATTCGAATTTTTGTTTTGTCTCCGTCTCTTAATTTGTTTGTTCTGTTTGAAAACTAGAAAATGTCTTTGTCCCTGTTTATTTCTATATCTTGAAATAAAAGCCTTCAACCAAATCAGACCGTCTAATTTTTAGTGGAAAAAAATACCTTAAAGACAATGTTTGTTGGACGCCTTGACAAATACTGCAGTAAAAATGGACGTTCCAGATCCATTTGACTATAAACTAATTGATATGCAAAGATGGTTTTGCTATGTTCGTTTGTATTTCGTTATGCCGATCCTGTTGGACGCGGACTATTTTCAAACGACATAGAAGCCTAATTATTTGGCACGTCTTGTTTAATTTTGAGAGAAGCCGAGCAGCCAAGGCGTCTCATATAAAATTTACATCGTTTTAGAACACTAGTGTCTTTTATTTTAGAACTAGGATCCAAAAGTGCGCTCAGTATGTCTGCGCACATCACAATTTGTTAGTGTAACCTTGATTTAATATAAGTTCCCTCATGAGAAAGCATGACTAGCTTTTTTTGACCGTATCCTTGAAATAAACAAAATTTTCGAGGTAAAGAGCCTGATTCACGAATGTCATATCAACTTAATTTCGTTGTACTGTGTTAGCGGACTACTGTTCGACGGCTAACCATAACCATGTTCACAGTCATGTTTCATTCCTTTTTCTGTTCATCTCATTTATTCATGCGTCATTTATTCATTTTTGTGCATATGCTGACTATAGGTACATGTTATATTCCTCCGCCGTGCTCTTCTCTTTGTTTTTATATATATACAGGGGTTATTCATTTTGTAATTATTGTTATCTTATATTATTGCATAAAAAGAGACGTATCTATTGAGATCATTTTAGGCGCATATTCAGTTAAGTAGGTCAGTTGTTGATTATTTTACTGTATTAGTTTCTCTTTAGAATTTCAAAATTAAATCCTCGACAGTCATGTTCGACTGGGACTTTTTTTATTTGTGGTTGCACCACATTGACTTTTTTTTGGACCTCTTCTATACAATCATTTATTTTGTGTTATTTTTTGTTGGATTAACATGTGTTTTTAAAAAAGCTGGAATTAGTAGTTATTTAGCCCTAGTTCCGTTTGTAAATTGTTACTATTTAATTAAAATTGTTCGTATAAAATACTATTTTGTTTTTTTTAGTTTTTCATACCTGTTGTTAATTTTTTTTTCTGGATTTTTATAATGGATCGGTTAAGAAAAACATTCGGCTTATCGTTTGGGAGTACATTTGGTCTTACATTTTTATCGTCAATATTTTTATTTTGGATTGGTGTTAACACCAGTCACTATGATCAGAAAAGACTAAGTGTTCTTCCTGAGGAAAGCAGTTGATTAATTCTTTAAAATTTGTTTTTGTGTCTCATACCTTTTGATGTCTCTTTCATATTTTTGTCTCATGTGCGTGGCTTTCTCTTTGCTCTAATAAAATTTCTTTTGCTCCATGATGAACGGTTGAATTTCTTTTTTCTTGTTACGATATGATCGCTGGCTTTTAATAGCGCTTATTTTTCGACTTTAGTTTCTGTGTGCCCGTCTAGACAGAGAACAGAATTGAATTCTTACTTTCTCATGCAGGAAAATTCAATGTATTTTTTACTGAGTGTAGACCACAAAGAAAAAGCGCCACATCTTTCTGAATCCGGTAGCTGAAGCAAACGAGTAGAATATAAGAGTACTGTTTGTTATCATGCGAAAATATTTAAATCGAAAGTAATTTGGGAGTACAGCCAAATGACTTGCGTATATAAATCAATAGACCGCCTGTGATTATTAAAAGTATTACCAACTGAATCAAGAATCCATAGCCAATTGCATTTCCCGCATCCATCTTTAGACGAAAGACTGTTACTCTTAGATTCTTTTCCAAATTGTTTTTGGCTTCACTTCGCTCCTTTTCCATTTGAGTAAGCAATAGTCCCATCCGTTTCGCATCAATATGATGGGTATAATTTCGAGTTTTATATAATGATATATTCAACAGTGGATCATCATGTTGAACGATATACCCTTTTGATAGTATTCGTATTATACTTTTTGACAGACACGAGTGATCGTTGGATTCAATCGAAAAGTGATCACACTTTAACGTACGATTGCATTCTAATGAAAAGAAAGCTAGCGGTTTTATTACTTTTGTGCGACGATATGATGGGCCGTATTCAGTACAAGTTATTGAACTATTTGAACTCAACATCCATTTGTTTTTGGCTACTTTTAACACTCGAAAAGTATCTACCGATGCTTTTGCATATTCGCAGTGCTCGTGATTACTGTCTGTGGTTTGCATTTGCTTCATACATAAATTTTGCCAGCTATCCAGAATTGGCGGAATTTCTCTGCATAACAGGAAATTTTTAATAAACGAACAAGATGCCAAATCTTCCGAATAAAATTCGATAAACTTTTGATGATCAACGTTTATCCCAATGAATCGTGGGACATTTACGGTATTGTATGCGACGTTGCCGATAAAAAAGATAGGAGCGTGTACCTCGTAAATGAGGAAATGATTCGAATTAGAATCAGCTGGAATTTTCATAATTGTGTTGACGATTAAGGTACCAACAATCGTCGTATCGTATTTATTAGTCTCATTAGACACCTGAAGTATCTCTTCTCTAAAACAATCGATTGTTTGTTCATTTATCAGCTTCTTCATTAAAACGGAGATTGATAAATTGAGCATTTTAACTTTAGGTCGAATTCTTTGAAATAAGGCGAATTGTTCTTCTTGCGAAAGAAAGTCAAAATTAAATTCATTGTTGATTATTGCGGCAATCGAACGAATTTGTATATCAGAACTGAGTCGTTTAACGATGTGAATCAGATTTAAAACATGATTCTGAAATTCATCATTAAACGAATTCGATTGAGCGACCACTTCTTCTACAGCTGCAATTTCCAACTGATTGCTGATAACCTCAGGGCTAACTGTAAATCATTGTCCGCAATTGTGTATATTTGTTGACTGTTGTTTTTTATTTGTTTTTGTTGCTCACGTGCCTGTTCAGCTAATTGCAGCATTTCGTTCGATTTCTTTTCAGAACTTATCCATGATGACCCTTTACGACTTGTAGAAAGAATACGTTGAAATAGATCCAAGAACCGCTTCGTTTTTATTTTCGAAATTGATGTACCGTCCGAAATGTCTGAACTAATTAAAGTAGATTGAATTTTCGACAACGGTATGTAAGTTACGACTGGAAAAGATTGAGGACGATCAAAAAAGTTCGAAACGAAAGTTAATACGATATTTGCATTAGGATCGAATAAATAATCATTTTTAATTTGAAGGTAGGAGAATAGATCGAGTTGTTCGCTACTCATTACTAACTGAAACCAATAGCAAATTACGAAAAGTCTCCATCTAAAATTTTATCATTACAATTTATTTCTTTATCAACTGATAGTACTGCTTACCCGATATTCATTCTTTTCATTTGTATTAACTTTAGCTCAGAATTACAGTTGAAATTGTGAAATGAACATGATCTGTGTAGTATAATTGATATGTATAGTTGATGATGTAATGATATGTATAGTTTTAAGCATTATCATTAGTATACAGAAAAAGTGAGTAGGACGAGTCTTTTTCTTATCTGTTTGGGTCCTTGAAAGAATATGTTCCACTTTTTCTCATCCATCGGAGAGGAAGAAAAAAACGGACAGAGGTTTGTGATATGTGATTTATGGCTGATATGTGGATATGATTTATGATAGTGAGGAAGAGAAGAGATAATAGTATTGTTTAATTGCGTTTTACTGTAAGTTATCAGAAATGTTAAATATTCAAAAGATAAAAGTTAAGTTATTAAATGATGTATTGTTAGAAATAAGAATCCAGTAACATGTCTTCACCGAAAATACAGCGTTCAGTTCTGGTAAACGTATTTTTGAAGGCGTTAAATGATAGTGATTTAGAAACACTAGATAGGTTGGATGAATCAACCTTCAGAAGTATAGCAAAATCTTTGAACTTGACTTGGTCCATTCAGTGCTCTTGGTTGAAAGCCTTATGGAAAAATAATCATGATAATATAAGATACGATGTTGTGGAACTTTACAACAAAGCTAACCAAGAAACCGAGTATGTTTTGTAGACATTCGTGACCTCGAAAACTTTATCCTAAAAAACTTGTGTTATCGCAGGACTAGTGATAAAGCGTTTGAACGACGAACATGTTGCATATGTAACCTAAGAACATTTTTACACCGAGGTATTTCAACCACAATCCAAAGCAGTGATGTTGATGAAAAATTACAGAGGGGGTATTTGAAACTGTATGGTATACAGTTAGGTATCTCGCTGCTAAATACATCGATTCACAAGACTTGTTATCGGAAGTTGTACGATGCTGCATCGTACGAACCGAGGAACAAAGGAAACTTGGGAACTAGAAGTTTTTCAAGCGATCACGCTACGGCACCTTTAAAAATCAGACAATCATCATTTGGTAAGAAAAAAATGCTTGTTTGCCACTTTTTATCGTGCTAAAATTTATAGGACACTGCTTCTGCTTGCTGAATAAAACTCCCATTCTGTTCTGTCTTTATTTCAAAATATGTTCAGTGGAATTCTCTACAAAAAATATGAACATTTTTTCATATACTGTAATTTGCAAATCGAAAAATTAAAAAAAAGTAAAAGCGGAGAAGAGTTTGAATATATATGATTTAGTGAATGATACTTGACTATATTATGATAGATTTAGCTCTGTATGTCCATTTAAGAGCGAGCACTCATGAATGGAAAATTAGTTACATTTACTTAATGTTTCTTTGTCTTACAGGGTACGACCCTATCACTGTTCCATCGCCAATTATTCAACGGCATTCATCGTTTTTCAACGACAAAAGAAATACTATTATCGACCATGACTACAGTTTGGGGCAAAATTACATCGAGCAGAAACAGCAAAAAGAGCAAAATAATGAACAATTGTCATGTTACGTCGGGGGATTAGCCGGCAATGACGATAGCACAACTTCTGTTTCCATAGTTCGTAAGACTCCCAGTCAGAAAGCCGTGAAATCTACAATAAAAAAGATATTTAGCTCCATCACATCATTTGCAAGTCCGAGAAAACCTCGCAATGTCTCTCCGTCGAAAACAATGGCTGTTACTCCTCAATTGTCGTCGCCTGCAGTGCTGCCAGGTGGAAACAGTACCACTTTTATCAGCACTCAGACAGATTGTGATAACACTTTTGTATCTTCAAGTACTAAAAAGTTAACTACATTGCCTGGAGAAGAAATTCATCATGATTGTTTTGAAATATTCACGCCAAATGATCCACGTATAGTTGCATTCGTTGACAACATTAGTAGCGACCAAACGCAAGAGCCAATTTTACAATTGCCTCAGGAGAAGAATTATTCCAGCACTCCAATAAGACCAAGAAGATTTATACAACAGGTAAGATATAAAAAGTTGGCTGCTGGTTTCCTTAACTACATTGTTCTTTTATTACTTCTATCGGATGAAAAGTCGCAAAGCAGTAGTTCGACCAACGCAAGGGACATTTCATTCATTAGTGATGTGCCACCATTGTGTAGAACGAATACAACATCTTTACTATTATACGAATTCGCTTTTGATGAAGTATGTGACTGGTTAATTGGAACGTTGAACACTGGCATTATCATTTCATTGATCGACATCCAAGAAAAATACAGAAATGTAGTGAATATTCGTAAAGAAAAAGTAACAGAATCAATATTGCGATCGGCCAATATTCGTAAACGTCTAGAAAATCGCTTTTCCAACGTACTTCATTTTGAAACACCATCGGATAAAGAGGGAACCTACGTTTGTTATAACAATATATCATCTTACGTAAAATTATCATTGTCAAAAGCAAGAGAGAATCAATACTCCATGTGTCGAAGCAGTAATTCGAATGAAATCAACGGTAACCAGACAGACTCAGAAAAATTATTCGACGCGATACGTATTATTCGGGATCACATTTCAATTGGGCATCAGACATTGAAAACATTTGGCAGTAAGACTGAAACGTTGACTTCCTTCACAACTGACGATTTTTGGAACTGTGCACCTGTACTTTTAAGAAATTTTATTGGGTTAAGTACACTAAACGACGAAAGTTTTTATAAGGTGCGACGTAATTATGAATATTATGATTTGTTGACGTCAGATTTATTTGAAAAATCTAACAAATGGGTTAAAATTTGTAGCATTACATATGATATTATGAATTGCAAAAACGATGCTGTGTTAAGTCCTAAACATTATTTGTTAGCAAATGAATTAATGAAGCACGAACGATCAGCCGATCTTGTTTCTATTTTTAATCGATATGGACATACATGCTCATACCAAACTATAACAAAACTGCATGAAGAAGCTGCAAGAAAAGAGGGTACTGGCTATCAATTGCCGAAAACAGTTCGACCACATTGTTTCGCAATCAAATGTGCCGACAATTTTGACATCAATCGAGATACGATTCATGGAACTGGTAGTTTTCATATAATGAATCAAATAATTATTCAAAATCCAGAAAACCTCATTTTACAAGGAACAGCTGAAGTTGCAAATAATGTGTCCGATACGAATGCAACGACTGAGGATCAGCTAAACCTGTCGTCCACTATGGACATAGATAATTCCAGTTTTGTTAGTCAAATGAATGGTAATAAACTGAACAGGTTAAGTGTAAGTCTCTAAGCTTTGAGTGTCTCCTCAGGAGAAAAAAAAAGTTTTAGGGCATTTATGATAGTAAACATTTAAGTCAAATAGCTACAACCACCTGCGGGTGTTTGCCAAAAGGCGAGTTCGTTAGCACAAAAACAATTCTTTTACCGATAACAACGGACGAGCATTTATCGAAAGATCGATAAATATGCCTAATCTCTTGTGAAAAAATGTCAGAATAAAGAATCGTAATTAAAGAATAAGTCTGCTGGCTATATGCACGCACCATTAAGCAGCTAATCTATTTCTCTCTGTTTAAAGTGTCTACGACAAGTGGTACCCAGCCGCTCGTGATTCCTCTTCTTCAATTGTCAAATAGTGATATTTCCAACGTTTCAGCCACAAGTCAACCTTTAAATGAAAATGCAACGAAAATTGCATCTGCATCAAGAATAACAACGGAGAAACGTTATGTCGCATTTACAGATGATTTATTTAATATACCCCTGTTTGCATATGGACTTAGTAAATTTTATTCGGCAACTGTTAATGTTGATATGCCATTATTAACCGGCTTTTTTGCTACTTATTATTATACGAAAGAAAGGCCAGTACATATTGTGTCTTTCTGCCCACCTATTAATGAAGATCCAAGTAGCCAAACTTGTGCAAAGATTTGTCTTCAGATGACAAAATCAGCCATTTTGGACACTCATTCCCAACAACAATGTGTACTTGTTGCTGATGAAAAGATTTACAGTAATTGTATAAAGGTAATAATCCCCTGGCATTAATTATGATATTTTGATTACTTTTTCAAGAATACTCTTTGTTTTGATTTATTTTTTCTCTAGGTGAAAGATATTAGCAACAGCAGTAATTCATTCTCAAATATTTTTCTAATGCCCGGTGATTTCCATATAATGAAGAACTATATGATCATGATATGGACCATCTTAGATGGCATAGGAATAGATGATTTATTGGGTCATATCTATCATGGTGGGACACTTAGAGCAATTCTAAATGTGGTTCATTTCAACAAATCCTTCCGATCTGTGAAATTATTATATACATCTTTGTTCATGTTATTAATTGAACAATTTCGTCATTTTTTGTCGTCGTCACCCAAATATTTCGCAATGTTGCAGCAAATAGAAAATATCTTGTCACAAATACCAAACAATTTTGTAACAGATTCAGTTAAGCAATCTTGGTTCAGAAATTTTACCGCATCTTTACATTCATTAGATGTAAAGGACACGTTCGATAAATGGTGTCAGGATTGTTCGTCGAAATCTAACACGTTTCGTTTTTGGGTCTTTGTGTTATTTCACCTTTTGGAACCATTAATCAAACTGTACATTGCCATCCGATCATCAAATTTCAGTGCACGCAACGATGCTATTTCGTTAATGGTTCCATTATTTTTTGCACATAAACGGCGTAATTACGCGCCATTAGGTGCTCGACATATTGTAGATTTGCAACGTGCGTCTCCATACCTGTTAAAGTATTTGGCTACATCATTTTCCGTTCAACGTACAAAGAGACCATTTTCAGCTATTGCTGTTGATCAAACGATCGAATGTACAATAAATAAATACGGAAAAGGACGTGGTGGAATAACTGGTCATTTCAATACGCATTTAATCGATAAGTGGACTCAATCGTTTGCATTTCGATCATTGTTGTCTAACATTACGTCCGAAATTTGCGGCTACGAAACAGAATCGAATAACATAGACAGTCATCTTGAATGTTCACCGAATCGTATTGTTGTTGATCAAAATGATTTGCAACTAATTTTATCGAAATTAAAATCTGAAAACTTATTTTCATTAGACTCTGAATACATGAAGATATTATTTACGGGGAAGATTATTCACAAAGATATCATTGACAGCATCTGTACATCTTATCAGCGTGGTTTCCGTCTACTAAAAGAGTACATAGAGGATCGTTATTTGAATGGAAAAATTAAAATAGAAGAAAAGATTAATTTTGGTGTAACATTGAGAATAATTGATGCAGATAAATATTCAGGTAGGACGGCGAAGAAAGAAAAGGCTCCAACATATAATCAAGTGGAATCGTATATTAGAAAAATATTTATTATTGGTTGTGCTCGATCAATTGATCTGAATAATATCTTTCAACATGAGTTCACAAATGCACCAGTATCGTTATGTAACCGCAAGTTTCCGAATTTGCTATATCAGTCGAGTAAATCTGTGGTTCAAAAATTTCTTCAAGACACGTTCCCTTCGGCATGTTTTAATCCATTTTGGACAACAAATCCAGAAGAATCTGCTTTAGTTATTGATGGCGGAGCACTTTTACAACAGATACCGCCAAGAGAAGGAAAAAAGCCAGTGCATTATTATGCCAGTCAATTAATGGAACAGTTAATAAAAGAACACTTTAACAACAACAGCAGAATAGATGTCATATTCGATTCCCCCAAATCAAAACAAATAAAAGCTTTTATTCAGCGTCACGGTATAACAACTGTAAAAGCTCCATACAGTATGAACGAAAATAGCATACTAGAAGTTGGTGAGGAGTACAACAAGTTATTACGTTCAAGTCGGGCTGTTGTGGCAAAAGCTGTCAGAGATTCGTGGTTAAAGCTATATGATAAATTACCGAAAAATAAGTATTTGGTTGTAGCTGGTCCAGATGAACAAGTGTTTGTATTAACCAAAGAGAACGTTGGTTTGGACGATAATTTAAGATCTAATCATATCGAAGCTGACACAAGAATCTTTCTTCATATTAAGAACATTAGCTCGTTTCAGAATTTCATGCAAGTGATTATTCAAGCGACAGATACAGACATCATTATATTAGCCATTGGTTATGCATTACAGTTGGGTATAAAAATATTCGTACATTGTTCAACTTCAAGAAAAAAACCGATTAAATATTTTGATTGTTCATTTATTGCGCAAAAATGTTATGACGAATACAAGTTTAATCCATTATTATTAGTAACGCTGCACGCACTCAGTGGGTGCGATACTACCTCGTTCATTCGCAATATTAGCAAGCAAAAAATATTCCGAACATTTTTCAAACATCCTCACAAGTTCAAGGATTTAGAGAATTTCTATTTGCTTCCAGTGAGTGAAGAATCTTCAAAATGTGCGGAGAATTTATTGATCAGTTGCATCAATTCATCATTATTAAGTAAGCTTACAAAGTTTTTGAGCGGATTTTTTTCGGTCTTTTCCTCAAGCTACAAGAACGAACTTGACGCTTATCTTCATTGGGTGTCCTCTCGATTCGTTCCTAATTAACTTTGTAAGATAAGACAACATCAAAGAGCACATCAAAAGTGAGAGTGAGTAATTGGGGACGGATCGAGACTAAACCCTTCATTGTATCCTTATCGAATGCTTTCTATGTAAAAAATAAATAAAATCAGAAATGAAAGCGTTTAACTTCTCTTTTTTAGCACTCGACGCAGTGAGAACTATTCAAGCAGTTTCATATTTAAGATCATCATCATCCGAATCATTATTAAACAATTTGTTACCCACAACAAATTCTTTTCATTATCACTGCAAACGTGTTTCTTTGCAATGTAATATTTGGTATCAGTCTACTTGCAATGATATTGATTATCCTCCAATGGCTGGTAATGGTTATGTTTTACAAGATGGAGACATAGGAATCGAATGGAAATCGATGCCCTCGATGCCAATTACAGACCAGATGACGACTTGTACGTGTAAAACGGGATGTACAACGAAAAGATGCAAATGTTTTAAACTTCACTTTAAATGTACTATGTTATGCAAGTGTACACTATGTCAAAATTCGTACAACAGTCAATCCGGGTGTTTCCCAGATT